CTCAGACCCACGCCCTTCACCTGCATCTGCCTCCTCTCGCAGACCCACGCCCTTCACCTGGATCTGCCTCCCCTGTTAGACCCATACCTTTCCCTGCGGCCGCCTCCTCTCTCAGACCCACGCCTCTCTCCTGCATCTGCCTCCCCTGTTAGACCCACGCCCCTCCTCTGAATCTGCCTCCCCTGTTGGACCCACGCCCCTCACCTGGACCTGCCTCCCCTGTTAGAACCATGCCTTTCCCTTTGGCCGCCTCCTCTCTCAGACCCACGCCCCTCACCTGGATCTGCCTCCTCTCTGAGATCCACGCCTCTCTCCCGCATCTGCCTCCGCTGTTAGACCCACGCCCCTCCTCTGGATCTGCCTCCCTTGTTGGACCCACGCCCCTCACCTGCACCTGCCTCCTCTCTCAGGCACCTGCCTCCTCTCTCAGACCCCCGCCCCTCACCTGGATGCGCCTCGCCGTGCCCATCCGCGTCTGCTGCACGAAGGGGTTGGGCACGGGCGGCGGGAAGAAGGACGCCTGGCGGGGCACCATGAGCGGCCGCAGCCCCGCCTTCCCCACGCCCGCGCCCGGCACGGTGGCCGCCACCGCCGCCGCCTCTGCGCACCGGCTCATGGCCCAGCCGGGCGTCGGACCGGACCGAGGCGACCGATGCCGAGCGCCGAGGGAGCGCGGCTGCCCAGGCTGAGCGCGCGCAGCAGTCCCAGCCCGAGGCGCCGCTGCGGGGCCACTGCGCAGGCGCCAGGGTTACCTAGCCGCCCTGGTCTCGCCGCGCCCCCTCTGGCTCTGCACCCAGGCTCTGGCCCCACCCCGAGCGCTAGCCCCACCCTTTTAGGTGTCGGCTTGTCCTCTTTGCTAATATAGCTCCGCCCCCTTGGAACTGAATGTTTTTCCCACAGAGCAATGTGCCCCATTGACAGACAGGTTAGGCAGGGGTCTCTGCTTTAGGGTCAGGCCCACTAGGATTACCAATCTCTTTTACTGGCTCTGTGACGTTGGTCAAGTCACTGTCTCCATGACCCTCAGTTGCCCCCTTCTGTAAAATGGGGATAAACAACTTGGATCCAGCAATTCTAGGAGCAACCCCTCGGCTGTTCCATTAAGGGGGTTAATATATTCAGGGTGGGTGTTTTATGTGTTTGATTTCTGGTGTACGTTTTGTTTTTGCTTAAACCAGTCTGAGTTGGATGTTTGTCAGTTACAGCTGAAAGAGTCCTGACTAATATAGAAATTGATACCAGGACTAGAATCTGTTCCACTCAAAACAGACTGACGGTGGGGAGATTCCAAAGGGAAATTGAGCTGCTGTTACTAGAAAAAGGCAAAAACAGCTATTGCCCTCCATGCTAGATGAGGAACCTGGCCCCAAAAAGGGAAATGACTTGGGCTGTGGCTCCATTTCCCCCTGAGGAAGTTCAAGGGCCTCTCTGGACCTATATGGGGGGGGGGCAGGGGAAGGATAGGGATTTTCCCAGGACCTGAGACCACTTGGTCAAACCCTGAGCAGCTGAGAGTCAGAGGTTGGAGATGGTGAATGACGTATCCTTACTGATCACTGCTCACAGCAGGCTGGAGGCCACAGTGAGGATCTGAGTCTGGTCCCTGGGACAGCGCCTCCTTCAAACTTTCCACTGTAGAATCTCAGAATCTTTCAGCCCTACCAGATAGATGTGTGGCTTCAGCTACTCACTTAACCTCTCTGAGCTTGTATCATCTAGGAGTGGAAAAATTCCTACCCCACAGGGTTGTAGTAACTAAATAAAATAATGCATGTGTAGTGTTCACAGAAAAGCACTCAAAAAAATGGCAGCTTTTAGGTACTATTATGTTGGGAGCAGCTGAATTTTCTCCGTATAACAGAGCGCCTTAATATCAGTATACTACAGCCATGATAGAAGCTTCCCCAGCCTCGTGGATCTTCAAAGAGGCGCTGGCAGACCCTTGTGGCTCTTTAGCCAGAAACAGGCACAGAAGGCTGCCTCTCCAGGGTCCTCGAGGACCTGAGCCATTGGGCAGGCCACAGGAGGAGAAAAGATGACTCTGGGTCCACCAAGGTCACCTCCAGAGTCCTGTCCACTCCTCATCCCCTTCCCACAGCTCCACCACAAGAGGCCTGAAGCAACAGACTGTGAGAGCCAGAAGAGGCCTCTGAAACACTCCCAGGCTTTAAACGTGTGTTGCAGCAGCTCCAGAACGTCTGCATAGGAGGGGATAGGGGATTAGGCCATCTGGAGGGAAAGAGGGGCAAGGAGCCTGCCCAGTAATAGAAGCTGTGTTAGAAAGCACACACATTTCTCCCCCATCTCTGTTTATTTAGGGTGGCGTTTGGGGTGGTGGTGGGTAATGCTGCTGATGGAGATTCTGGGTTGCGGGCGAAAGCTCCTCCTCTAGGTCATCTTTGACCTTGACTCTGGTTGTTACCTAATAGCTCTGGTACCCTGAGCAAATCACTTTTCTCTGGGCCTAAGTGTCCTCATCAATAAAAATTGGGCCAATAATAGCCTCTCCCTCTTTAGGTTGTTCTAACGGTTAAGTGATGCATGTAAAGTGCCTGGCACATAGTAGGCACTCTATTAAAGGAGGGGGTATTATTGTGGTTCATTGTCAATAGTAGTAGCATTAGAATCGGTACCATTGTCAGTGAAGACACTGAGGCTCGGAGGAAGGGAACCTTAACAAGACCCTGCAGTTAAAGTAACAGCCTCGCTGCTGTTGCCGGGCTCTTTCCATAGGACAGCTGGACTCTCTGGTTCACCCATCCTGAAGGGCTCTTGCTGTTTATTTTGGCAGCTCTGACCTTTCTAGCAAATGTCACCTGTGCCCTGTAGGGCGCCGAGATTTAGAGGTTTTAAGTTTCTCTTCTGGGTGGGGCTATGGCATCTCTCTTGGCTCTCAGAAAACAGCCTGCAAACACTGCCACTCAATTGGTGTCTTTATTCATACTTGTTGACATTTCCCATGGGGAACTGTTGAAATGAGAGGAAGGGAGGGCTGAGCGAGGAGCCACGGCTCGGTTTTCCTCCAACCAGTGGAGGAAGTGACGGGGTGGGGTCACACTGAATAGAGTGAACAAGGGAACCTTCGCTACGTGGGCTGAGATGCATCGTGCAGTGACTTTGGATAACCCGAGTCCCCTGTCGGGAAATGCAGTTTCGAAGTGGAAAAATAAAAAAGATCAGAAGAAAAGAACAAAGTGCATACAAAGCAAACTGCTAACGGAGGGAAAGTTCTAAGGCAGCCGAAGTGAGAAGCCAGGTGTCTGGGGCGGCCACCTGGCCGTGCCCCTGTCCCACTGCCCCGTGCCAGGCCATGCTGTCGGGCCACCAGTGCCTTGAGACAGTCTCTGTTGGCTCCGAGGGTGCTGTAAGCCACAGAAGGTTGTGGAGGGAGGAGAGCCTGAAGTGTGACAGCACCAGGGCAGCCCAAGGCAAGGCTGCGTGGAGGATATCAAAGCATCTCTTTCAGGGTGGCTCTGGGGGGCTACTGGGATACGGGGAAGGGGCCCCCGGGAGGGGTACAGTCAGCACCTTTCCTTGGACACAGGGCAGAGCCACTCTCCAGAATCTTCAGTTACCAGGTGGAGATGAGAATGCTGATTAACAGAGCTGAAGGCTGCCAGGCCCATCCGGGTCCTGCCCTGGTGCTCAGGGCCCGGTGTGCAGAAGGCGATGGAGAGGCAGGGCCTGTGGGAGCCGGGCCCAGCTCAGCAGCCCAGCCAGTCGGATTTGATGCTTCCGAACTTGACGCTCTTCAGACTTTGGTTCTCCAACTTCAGGTAATACGCACCCTTGAAGAAGTAGCTGTGACCTGGGATGAGAAAGAGGAGAGGCTGTGACCACCCTAAGCTCAGACATTATGGCACCTGGAAGGTTCTTGGGAAGCTTTGAGAGTCTGCCTGCCATCGGGAAGAAGCTTTTAAACGAGGGAAGACCTCTCTGAGGCTGGAGGAAGGGAAATGGCTGTGGACGAAGCTCTTTGGCTGCCTGTTTCTTCATCTTTAAGATGAGGATAAAGATGCCAACCTCTTAGGGCTTGTGATGAGGATTAAATTAGATAGCATATGCTGTTATTAATATAAACAACAGTACTCTGCTGAGCCAAGCACCAAACTAAGCACTCTCCATCTACCAAAGTTGTCAAACCTGGGGGCTGCTAGCCCTATCAGGCCCATAGCGGGGTTTTATTTGGCTCACATAAGTTTTTTGTTTTGAATTCTGAATAAAGTTGCCAACATGTAGACATCTGGAAATTTCACATAAAAATACAGATTTCTCACTTCCTTTTAAAAGAGCTAGAACATCTAATAACCCCAGCCCCCATTCTTGCAGGGCAGCAATCATCAGAAGCAGAGAAGCAACCGTTCTCTGTAAATGAGCCATGTGCTCGCTGGTTCACCACAAACCCCACCACTCCCTATTGTCTGCCTTGCATGCTTCACTCATCTGTGCTACTAGCCTGGCCCCTAGGGGCTCTGGAATTTGTGACTCCTGATATACATGATCTCATTTACTTCCTTTGAAACCCTTGTACATAGTAGGTGCTCAAGATGTTTATTCCTGAAGATAATCCTTAAACTAGCACCTGATTGTTCAGTGCTTTTTCTTGCACATGTAAGACCTTTTGCCACTGGAAGTTAGGGCCATGTGCTTAGCATAAGAGAGGGGCTCAAAAAAGTCTTTGTGGAATTTAATTGACATTTCCTCTAAAAAGCCAGACTGGACTCAATTCCAGGGCCCTAAAGAGCTCACAGAAGCCTCCTCAGGAATATGGCTTTCAAACTCTAAATTCTACGCCTTGATGATACTGGTTGTGTTTCATTCAGCAAAGGACCAGAGGCAAATTGAGTTCAGTGGGGGATCTGCCATATCAGCGACAGGGCATGACAATTTGTCCTGTCTCAAATGGAGCCATCGCTCTGCTAATGGGCGACAGTCACAAGGCCTCTTGTGGAACCCAAAAGGACCTGGATCAAACCCCAGAATGAATCCAGGGCACAGAGCCCATGCTCCAAGCCCCGGGCAGGCCTCCCGCCCGCCCCCTCCCTGGCTCTAGGCCCTGCAGCTGTGAGGGGCCTTTCTGGGTCTTACTGCCTGGAGCCGGCTGAGTGAGCAGAGGTCAGGGGTCTGGACGCCTTCCCAGCCCTGGGCTGAAGGGGCTGGTTTGTTTTCCCCGGCGCCCCATGCCTTCCTGCACAATGAGGGAGTGTGTGCTTGCGAGAAGCAGGGCCCTGGCTGGGGGCGGGGAGTCCTAGAAAGCGGACGAGGCCTGGGTAGCTCACCACCCCCCTGCAGGTCCACCACGGCGTCCAGGTTATCGGGGATGGCGTTCCAGGCGTCTGCAATGAGCTTGGGGAAGCCAGGATCCATTTTCTTCTTCACCTCATTGTATCTGCAAGGAAGCGGACATGGTAAACCAGCAGGGCCTCCCTAAAGGCCAGCCACCCAACCTGGATGGGAGGGCCCAGCTGGTGGCTCCTGGGTGGGCCTGGGAAACCAGACCTAGCCCTTCAGGGAGGCAGCCGGCTGGAGTGGAAGGGCAGGGCTCAGACCTGGGTCTGAATCCCAACTCCACTACTCACTAATTATGTAACTGTGGACAGTCTAGTAAAAACGTGC